AACCATCGCATTTGTAGTAGCGACATAGTAGCCAATTACTTGATAACTCCCCCCATCGATTGCCATATTATTTTCAGTTCTTTGGGTCCATAACTGGGCCGAATGTGAATCAAAGAAGTTGACGACCTCGTTCTCAACAATCATTAGGTTACCGGTTCCACTGAGTTAGAGGTTATCATGGACTGTTTGGTGCAATTAACAAACAGTGTTGTGTGCAGTAGATGCAATAATAAACTAATTTTGGGCCCATACAAGGGCCCAAAATTACAGGGGTCTTTCAGGGCAAGCGCGCTTTTTGGAAACGGTTTCTTGCATTTGTAGGGACGCATGTATGGACCACAAAACCATGTTTCGTTTTCGCTGAACGGTTTTAGTAGTACAAAAAAGTGGTGAATGATACCCTTGATGGTTCGATCCCCCGCGGCGACTAAATTTTGCAATCAAGGTTGGCGGCCACTTGTTGGCTTCAAAATGGTCCTGACGATGAATATGACATCTGATTTTGATATTTAGAGCGATTTGGCACCACCCCGCAGGTCCTTCCTTCTGAAGCTTAGTCCTAAACCTTTACACCACGAGAATATGCTTGTGGGTTTAAACAGGTTATTATAAACACAATAATTTTAAAGGGATTTTCGTCCCCCAACTCTTGGGGGAGGATTGAATCCGGCCCATGAAAAGCTGGGAAACCTATGAAACAACCATTGACCCCTTGGGCGGTGTGGTGGAACCTAGATGACGATCAGTTATGGGAGGCCACTCACACCCCCGTCCCACGCATCGTACCCCGCAAAATGCGGGTCGATATTGGCCCACGACGGTGGACGCTCCGGGTCGCCCGTCAAATGATATCGATCGTGCCCGCGAGCGGTCCTGCGTCGCGGTCGAGTTCGCCGCCCCGACGGGCCCAGCCACAGTCAGCCGTGTCGCCTCTCATTTACCAACGTTTCCAATCTCAGCTCTGCATAATCAAAAGGTTGTTAGTGTGTTGTATTGTGAGGCCTGTCGAGCCAGTCGGTTGGCTTTGTTCTGTTAGCAGCTGCGATCGTTTTACGTCACGATCGTTTGGCCATCAGGCAGGTTTTTGTCATGTGTGGAGCATGTATATTGTATTTCCCATGGGCCAAGTAGGTGTTGCACAGCTGACAGCAAACATATTTGCCTTTTTTTTCTTTCAATCTTCATGATTTCGTTTGCACAGCCACGGTGTCACCTGTATTCATAAGCTGGTCTATTCCGAGCTACGCTGTAGTGGGATTTATGGTTTTAAGGCCGACTTTACTCAGCTTAGGTCAGTCCGTAATAACTGGACCTGTTGGTTCACCTTCTCAGAATATACTCTACTGTTCCTAACTTGGGACGAAACATGGTAGGTAACTTTGTTCCGGCTCAAGTTTTTCATAGTGGTTGATCTTCAACGGGTGTTAAACTAATTAGATGAATTACCTTGATTTTATGGGTAATAGATTAGGCTAGTCCTCAATTTGGACTTCGTGTAAGGGGAGAACTCCGTGGTGCGTGAGCGCTTTCTGTTTCCTCGCTATCCTCCTCAGTGCTAGGCTTTGTGTTCGCCGTGAGGCTAAATGCAAGATGCCCCACCCAATTAGATTTGTATCTTTCAGTGCATTTTCTTATCGTGTGCCGAATATTTTTGGGTTATAAGTTCATCATTAGTGTGCATCTTTCCTCCTCAACTGAAAGCGGTATTCCTTTGCGTTAGACCCAGATTGAGTTTGTAGGGCAGGCGCTGTCACGAAATCAGTTAAGCGAGATAATAACGCAAATCCCCGTTAAAGCCGAGCATTAGCTAAAAGCGCTGGGCACGGAGACTATATTTATTCCACGCTTAATTCTCCGGTCACGAGGTCAACCATCCTTTCGACCTCGTTTAATATGACGGCGCCACACGATAAGGTACTGCAAACGTCAGACCAGGCCTGACTCTTGACAGCTGGCATCATCTACAAAAAGTGCTCCATGGCGAATGTGCATGCCGCCCAACTCCTTTACCGTATGGAAAGACAGGATTGGAAGCAACAGCCAGACGCTGGCAACATCGCACAGGGCGGACTTACGACGTCACACCTACAGAGCGCCTACCCTGAACGCCATCGCAAACACCGCAAGCAGGCTATGCACGGTTTTCGCCGTACCGTTCCTGCGTCTTACTTGATCCTTAAATCCAATCCTGGTCTCCTTTCAGCTTGCCTTCAATCGTTGCTCAGTTCATAAGCATGGAGTTCTTATCTGAAATTCTAACTCAGGGTGCCTATGCAATCCTCATCATATTTTAGACGAACGTTCTACTCACGCGGTGTCGGTTGTACATGCGGCTAGTCACGCTCTTCACCCTGCTTGCCTGCAGTTCCGCCGTTTTCTCTGGAGTACGCTCGCGGCAGGCCTGGTTTCTGAGCGGTTTCGTCTTCTTGGCTGACTAGTGAACGCTATAGAAAAGTTGGAGTTTTCTCACAGATTCATACACCTCGATTTAGTCACGCAAATTATTGGAAATACTTTGCACGAGATTTTCCTTCCGTGTCGGTTGAAGATGCGCCCGCGCATTTACATAGAAAGGCCTTTGTTCCCCCGACCTGTGGTCTGTCAACTGTGTCTATTCGAGCACAATGGGCTGACGAGGAAAAGGCCATGCGACCTGCGTTCGCCTCATCCAACCTCGAGTTGTCTTATCAGAGCAGGACGCGGTTCGTATGAAGCTTATCAGCTCTATTTATGAAAAATGTATGCGATGTCATTTCAAGAGCTCATCTAGTCTTGAAAAGAGGTAAATACTGTATTGGGATGCGAATGCATACGTTTAGTGGGTGATTTCTCCAAGTTATACCGTTCTTTCTATTACTTTACGAACCGCTACAGTGCTGTCGGATTCCTCTTCTTGTTAGCTGACAGAGGGCGTCGAATGAAGTCTAAGATAGGTGAAAGTGCCTTTATATCTGCTCAACGATTCTCCGCACTAAGATGTCGGTCAGACTATGCGATGCATCGCGCGATGCAGTCGCTCTGCCAAAAGTGCAAGCGGCGGGCAATGGCCCGCCGCGATCGATACCGATGTCGACTGCATCGATGTGGGCGGGGCCAATCGCCCGTCGCTTGTGCACATTGCAAGAGCGACTGCATCGCGCGATGCAATCGCAGAGTCTGACCGACAACTAAACGGTGAGTCCATCGCAAGATGCACACGGCCCACTGCGACGAGGCCCCTCGATCAATCTTGTACAACATTTACGGTTGTGGCGCCTATTCTGTCAGCGTTTATTTTCCACTGAGAGCATGAGTAGTCCCAGTGCTCCTAATATCGCGCTATCTTTTCTCATCGCATTCTTCTGAGGGTTGCCCTTTTGTTTCTTTTCAGTCCTCCATTGATTAGCCCAGGGTGGTTGATTCTCTCTTCAGTTACTGATATCGAGAAATTGGGCTGCAAGCATCTGTTGATGCTTGCTGAAACCACGTCAGATGCGCCCTGTCTCTTTGAAGACATTTTTGGTAAGGTGCCAGGGTCTCATCTACTAAGGGGTGGGGTGGGGGCATGTGGTGCGACAGACATATTGCGTGAAGTAATCCACTTTTTTCAGAGGAGGGATGCTACGGGGTGGATGTAAAAGTTTGAACGCGAAAATTGGAATTTCTGTAGCCGGCAGGAGCTGTCACACCACATGCCCCCCCCCCACCCGCTTACTGGATGAGACCCAGGTGCCAATCTAACTGCGATATAACGAAGGTCCTTCCTTACCTGGCATAAAACCGCGTATCTATCCTGGTTCTGTTCTCTCGGTTGTTTGTGGCTCCATTCATTATTCCGCTTGCATACCTGTCGTTCAAATTTAGGCAAGTTTAATAGATTGTTTTGAATTCACTCTCAGTAGTGAAGCTTCGCATTCCTAATTCCTTCTGTTTCTGACTATTCCCTTACCAATGGGCAACTTGTAGGTTGCATGAAATGTATCCTTTCAAGTCTGTAGTTTTGTTTTTTTCCTTTTTGTTTGGTATTCGTAGATCTCTTATCGGGAATGGAAACGTCTCGACGAAAACGTGTTGACAAGCTGTTTTTTTCAGTTCTAGCGCATTCAAGCGTCTTTTGCGTTGTACCATCCGTTTGCGTTGGCTACGGTATAGAAAGTGAAGGTTCCATCTGTGCGATTAAAGTGATACGTACCACGTTGCGTTCTCCAGTTTATCAGGTAGTTATCAATTTTTCGTATCAATGTTTTTAAGTGGCATAATCATAATCGCTCACGAGTCCTATTTTCAGGGAGAACACTTTATGACATTAGAGTTCAACTCTTTGTCCCGTACACTCACTGAACGAAGGATTCTCATCAGGTAAATAGTTGTTTTATTCCTGTACTCAAATCTCCCGTTATAATGCTAGGTGAGAGGTGTTTTATTGCATCTCACATATTGACGTCTTTTTAAAAATGTCGCTCATACCCTCAACTGAATCATTTGTTAGCGTTGCGCGTGAATTTATAAGCGTATTCAACCTTTGTTGAAGTCCTTTTGTCACTCATACATCGAACGCATTTGTAGGTTCCGCACAAGTCTGCTATTCTATAGGACTCAATTCTTCTTAGATTCAGATTACTCTATAATAGTTCATGAAATGATACACGTGCTGCAAACTTCAGTACCAGATTGAATCTTCTGATCTTTTATGGCTCGGTTTTCTTAAAGATGTTTTAATTTCATTTTCAGGTAATACCGTTTTGTGGACGCCGCGCATCCTCAAATCATCTCAACAATACCAGTATTTAATCCCGGTTCAAATTGTTACAAGTCAGCAATGAATATCTCGTGTGCAAGTGCTCCTCGTTCGAATCGTTATCATCAGCAACAACCAGCAGCTTTTTTTGGATCGTCTGGATCCGCCTCTGCTCCGCCAACCCCGCGTAGCCGACAGGAGGTAAGGCTTATTTGGCGCAAGAAGATTTCAGATTAAATTGTGATGTTGCATAGCTATCGTTTCCCAATCCTCTCAAACCTCAGTCATATGGAGATTTCTATTTAAATCTCAATCAGGGTTCCCGACGTCCTGCTCGCCGTCCAGTGTCATTTACACCAAAGACATCTGGAAGTCCTTGCTATGCTGGTTCGAAATTCAGTGATTCGCCGACAGCTCGCTCCATTCCTCTACCACCAACAGAATGGATTTGTGAAGTAAGTTCTCTGGCATTAGGGAAGCGGTACGTACAAATCCCATCTTCTCATTTGTGTAGGCATACACTGCAAATTCGGAGACTAGCTCGATGAGCAGTGGATCGATTGGACTTCCGAGCGACATGGAGACGAGTTCGATTTGTTCGAGTGCACCATCCTTGAGTGATGTCGGAGAGGTGTCAATTCTTCCAACGACACCGCAAAAATCTGCTCTTCGTCCACCATCTGGCATGCGTGTACATCCTCTCCGTCTCATCGCTGCTGTTGCTGCGTCATAAGGTGCGAAAACAAATATTTAGATAACCGTTTATTAGTGGTATAAGCCAGGCTCAAGACTTATAAGTTACGATACTCAATAACAAAAGTTATTCAGTGAAGGTGAGGGGTGGATATATTTTACTGTCATATTAGCTTCGCTGTATTGTGGGCATGTGCTACTTGTGTTCACATATTCGATCACGCTGCTTAGGCACTGTTTACAGTCTTCGTTTGGAGAATGTGGTAGTACGCGAAAAAGGTTATATATGTTCTGTCTGCGAGCATCGCTTGCAGGGGAATCGCGTTAACGAAACGGTCAAACATAAATGTAAAGAGTCAGATATGTGCCGATTAGTAGACTGCTTGATCGGAGTCGATGAATCGTGGAAGCGATCCGCCGTTTTTCTGTTTCAGAGATCGATACGTACACATTCTTTTCGCCGAGCCACCCGTTCTATGAGACGGAGACGGTAAACAATGGCATATAATGCTCACGCGCTGTGGGACAAATCCTAGATCAAATTACATCTGGTCCAACTCATCCTTCCATCTCTTCGAGGTCGTATGATTGGTTACAATTAGAATGGGCGAGTAAAACTTTCACTTGGATACCAGTATTGAACCCCAAAGTCATTGTGACTCGAAACGCATTCAGATGGCTTTGGGTTTAGAATCGAATCAGTACGCTTGGTCCTTTTTATGGGTGACGGACTTTTGGTGCGTCCGGGGTTGCACGCGGCGAATCGCGCGGCGGGCTGCGCGGCGATCCGGACGAGGCAAGTCTTCGCGGGCTTCTGCGGTGGAATCCAACACGTCAGAACGTGTGCAGATCGCGGATAGGTTCTGCGATTCGAATTACATTCCAACGCGTGGATATTCAAAGGCAGCGGCAGGAAGAGAAGAAAAGGAATAGCATTGAGAGATTGATTAATGCAAGAGATTGATTAATGCCAGGTTTCATTGTTTACCCTTTCTGTGTAACTCGGTGCTGTACGTTTTTCAAAGTCGCAATAAGCTTAACACATGACCGATTGTATTCCATTGCACTTCATGAGCGATTTATGATGTGCACACGAAGCTCCCCCACTTTCTTCACGATTTGGGGCGCGGCCCAGTCGATAGTGCCCGCGAACAGTGGACTCGTCCGCGCTAATCGTGAAGAAAGTGTGGGAGCCCGCACAAGAATTCTATCGTATGCATAGTTAGTATCCCCTATGGAGCTGTACATTGGTAAATTGATGTGGTTGATCTCTCATAGTAGCACATCGCCGTGGACATGTGGAAAAAGTGGGTTTTAAATGTATAACATGAACATGGGAAAAGTGTGTTTTGAAAACTTACATTTCTTGCAAAATACAAATTATTTTATAGTGCTTGGTACTAATCAGCTCAGTAAAATGTTTTTTTTTTCAGGCATTCCCGAGGATTGTGTGGCATGGCCACCTCCTCCTGCACTACCTGTTCTTCGTACAGTACCAGTAATATCGTGTTCATGTTTCTCTTAGCCGCTTAGCGGCCGCTATTACGTAATTTTCTATATTATCGACCTACAGTATTCAATGTAACCCTTAACCGTAGTATATTTTCTCCTCTTTATTCATTTATTGAATCTATATGTCTTGTCCGTTGCACTTATTGCACGACAGCAGACCGTTAGAGCAGTTTATTTTTGTGTAATTGTTTTGTAACTGTTTTGTTTTTTCTCCTTTTTTGCCGTTGTTCATATAACGTTGTATGTGATTCTGTGCATAACGAGGGTGTTTGTGCACGGCAAATTTTTTCGCCTGCCCACCTTCAAATTGCCAAGCCCTCCGTTACGTGGATGAGCTGTAGAAGATCTGCACAGATCGGCAGCCTCATTCACGTAAGGTCGGTTCTCTCATACTTCGGGTCAAATAGCGAGTGTCCTGGCGTCGATTTCATTCATTATTTTTTTCTGTGAATCATTCGGCAAGATGCTCTCTAGGACGAGTGACATTCGCTTCGGTGAGCGTTACTCGTCACCAGTTATACACCTCCTTTTGCTTTCTCTTATTCATGCATTGTACGACTCCTGTGAAGCAGTCGGGTCTCTCTGATGATTATCTTCTCCATGTACACACACGTTTTTGTGTTCAATTCAGGTGTTGCTCTAATGCAGTTGTATATATCTTTCGGGACTCTCCCAATGAGTCGGTTTCGAGGTACTGTTGCACTAGCTACTATGTAAGCGCCGTCGAGATGTTGTTGAATTTTCGTTCTGGATTTGTTTTCATACAACTTCATCTCGGCGTCGCAGTGCCGCCGACGACCTGAGTCCGAGTGACGTGTACGCACTTGCGAGTTCCCTCGTGTCCGCCAACATTTTTGTGGTGGATGCGACGAGGACAAGAAGCACGCTCGAAGATGCTGATACTGCGTGTGTTGTTGTGTGCCCCATATTTGGTCTGATAGACTTCTATCTCAACTCCAAGATTACGTTTTTACTGGGTATTCGTGAATTTACGGCGTTTATCGCATGACTTCCACTTTCTCTTATGACCGATTGATGAATATTCATCGCTCGGGTCGAATACGTGTAACCAGTAAGAGGCGGAATCTTGACAGTTCCCACCGTTCTATTCAATCTTCATTTTTGCTTATCCTTTTGAAATCTCTCAAAATCGTCTTGTACATAGTGATATGTGGTACACATCTCCCGCTAGTGTATTTTTCTGGTTCATTTTTTTAAATCTTGTTGGCTCGCGCACGGTTCGGTGTCGTCTCCACGATCTCGGAGACGTACCAGTACCACGGGTCCTTTTATAATACTATGTTCTCGCCCCTTTCCAAAACAGAGGTCCCATCATCTTACTCTCAATCCTCGTTTTGAACTCGGTCATGTCGTATAGAGTAAGTAACTCACGATACCGTCTCCTTAGCTGATTCGGGTATAGTGTGATTGTCGTCGACAACGTGCCGAGTCTCGTTGTTTAGCCTTATAGTCATGACCACACTATGTGTTTGTTCACTATCGAGTCTCTTATGGTATATGCTAGTCATGTACTGTACCCCATCTGACGTCATTCTACATGGCATCGTCAGGTGTCATGTTGTTCAGTTGTTCTTTTAAAATGACATCAAATCACACTGAGATTGTAGATTTTTTGGCCCATCTCCATTTTAACAGCTGTGAGATGACAATGGTCTTTTTTCCTACAATCGCCTTATCCATCGATCGCGATTCTTTGATTATTACATCTAGTAGATTCATTCACACACTCCAATGTTAGCATTATTATAAGGTTAATAATGGTTTATTTGTTATTGATCAAGAAAAATCGTAGCATAACAATCAACGACAAGAGTAATAAAGAATCAAGATCATTTGTTTTTCATGTGTTACCCATAGTTATTGATCGAGATCATCAGAAGGTACGAAGACTGCAAACACCATCTGGAATACGGAGCCGTCACTTGGGATTGGGGTTATTACGCCTCTGATTTGCTCGTTATCCCACAGGGGTAAATTACGATTTGGTAAAAGACCTTATAAATCGAGTTGAGTGAAGGGGAAGCCCCAATTTTTTCGATTGAACGAAAAGCATAGGTTAAATTAAAAGTAAAAATATATGGTCAAATGGTGAGGAATTGACAGCAAAACTGTTTGTCGGATGAATGCTGAGTTATGGGTGAACCCGCTGCCCCGACAACGCTTGTAAGCGAGCATTTATGCTACCATTACACTACTGGTGCACTATTCCACACTAGCACAGCTGTATAGGGTATATGTACCATCGATAGCCGAGCTAACTCATAAAAATTGCAGTGAACGAACAAAATAAAGTGGAAATTAATAATTACCTGGTTATATTCGTTCCTTACAGTATCAGCCAATGGTACTAAAACTTCTGGCAGTGATATTTCGAGTGTTTTCTTAAACAAACGTTTCGGTTGCTCGTTGCACAACTGCAGGCGAATTCGTAGACGTGTCGCTGAACAGTGCTCGTGAAAAATCCGTATGTTGAAGCATTCAGTGATAGGAAACAATCCGGCCTCATAGCCCAACTCTGCCCCTTTTACCAAGCACCAAATTCGAAGGTCTGTCAAATAGGTTACAATAAAAGTAATGGCTTTATATATATGATTAAACTTTTGTATTTGTGAAATTAAACTGTTTTTGTTTTTTTTTTCGATCTCAATATTTTTATATGTTTTATTCAAAATTTATTTAGGGGGTGGGATTCAAAGAGTAGTTTAGTCTCCGTTTCGCACGTGCCCTTAGACGGAGACTAAACGAAAGAGTATCCTCTCCCTGTGCTCATCAGTAAGGGAGGAGAGGTATAAAGAATTTGATTTACATTATTGTAGTATTTATTAAATAAAATTTTCAAAAGTTGTTAGCGTGAATGAATTATTAGTATTTGAGTTAATTAAGGTTTAATACAAATTAAAGTTTTTTATAGCTAATTAGATTTATCTAACATATAATTACAGTTTTTCATGAAAAAGTGAAAGAGTTTGTTTATTATTCAATGAATTTGTATAGAAAATTGAACTCACCTCTTGTCCTGCCTCCTCGAATAGTAGATAGATATAAAATGAGAGGCTAGTCTTGATATAACGTGTGAAAGTTTTATCATTGTTTATCATTCTCTACCGATGCATATTCATTTCCTTTTCAAGGGTCATCAAGTTTTCGAAGAAACTCTAGTAAATCGTCCATTTTTAGTTCATATTTATATTTTATAAAAGTGTTTTTAGCAGAGCACTTTATCAGATTGATAATAAAGATATCTGTACTATATCCAGATTCGTTTAATTGGTTTCTAGTATATTTTAACCTACTTATGAAATCCTTTTTATTGGAGCATGTTCGAGCTATTCTTAAAATTTCGGAATAAATCGTATTGTGTTTAATGTGACACGAAATATTTGTTGTTGAGTTTGGAAAGCGTTTTATGTTGAAGTTGAAATAGTCCGTCTTATTATACATTTTTGTCTGTATTTTATTTAGATCTATATTGATTTCTAGATCTAAATAATTACATCTATATTCGTCAGTGTGTGTAACTTCCAATTTCAAAATATTTTCGTATATTTGGTTTAGTTTATCTAGAACAGTTTGTGTATCTAGATTGTGTACTACAAGGATATCATCCATATATCTGAAAGGTCTAAATTGTAGGTTTTTTGTACTGTTATGAGTAAGTGAATAGATATATTCAAAGTATGATAATGTGAGATCAGCTAATAGAGGGCTAACATTGCTACCTTGTGGTACTCCCGTTTTCTGTACAAAGAGCACAAAACCTAGTACTTAAGCATTGGGGATAACCATAGGCATTCTGCTATTCGATCCGGTCGTCTCCTTTAGCGTTTCTCAATTTTTTGTTTTCGCTCCTGTTTGAAATTATTGAAATCGGGGTTCAGGACATGGCAGCCAGGTCGATTGCGTGTGGCTTGTAGCAACGGAATTAGGACATGTATCAGGGTGAAAATGGTCGGGCAGGTAACAGAAAGGGAAAGAATCCGCTAGGGAAGGCTCATCCTTTCTATCGGCCTGTGCTGAGGGATATGGTTAGGATTAAGTGCGCCGGGAGAGGAGGTATTTGAGGCGAGAGGACGCTCCAGATGACGAGAGCGCCAGACAACAGCCTGATAAGAGAAAAAAATCTGCAGCTTCAGCAGCTTACTTTGTAAGGCCAAGGCTCTCTTGTCGGTTGGCTTCCGTGCACGGGAGCACCACATATGTCCTTGTCCCCTTGGGCTCTATACCATAGACCGAAAGGAAGCGTTCACAAGACCTCTGCCTGGTTTGTGTCTTTGAGCATACTTCTGCCGAATACTTTGAACCCCATTATCGGCTACAAATGCAATACTCGATTCCAACCGACATGTATGAACCCCTTTTTATAGACGAGCCCCGTTGATCCTTGCAGAACTTGTGCTTGACCCCGACGGCGAGTAGCCCATTCCTTCTTCTTTTCGCTCACACCAGGAGTGCGGTGGGGAAAAGGTTGGAGAAAGACTATAGAGCACATCTGTGAGAAAAGGTTACAGGCCGTCATTGGAAAGGAATGGATGAGTGATTTTCGAAAAACTGGGAATACACTGAAAAATATAACTTGACGCGAAAATGCAAGGGTCTGTGGCAATTACAGTCATGCGTAGACGATCAAAACACGTGAACCTATTCTTTTTCTTCTATAATTCGAATCGAACGGGCGGAAGTGTGTAGTGGCAGTGGGCACGCTTACACGCGAGCGGTCGGGGATCAAATCCTGGATCGTGAGTCGCCCGGGCCAACCAAGCCTTCCATCCTTCCTCCGGGGTCGGTTAATTGGTACCAGACTTGCCTGGGAGGATAACAACACTGAACTGTACATCGGCTAGCCTCGCAAGTCATTGTGTAGGCCCATCGCATTCAAACACTACTACGAATTTACAAATGGAAGTACAATGCGTGCCACATCGCAAAAAGGGATGAATCAACAGCAATGTTTTGTCCTTTTATCCAATATCTGTTTCCAAAACCATTAGCTAACTCGAGCCCACAGCGCCTATTCTATCGACTACAAACCGCGCGGTTTTTTGTGACGCGAAATGGTGCGAGCCGCTGGGAACAACCGCTTGCGCACGCGTCGCGGTGCTCATGTATGGTCAGTCGAACTAATGACCGTACCATGAAGTGGTACCGGATATATAAGATGTCATCTCTATCGTCAGCCTGCATAGAATTACCTTAAGCAAGAGAAGATTCGAGAGCCACTTACGAGTGTCCTCAAGCCTTTCGTTCAGCTCGTCAGGTATTTCCATCGATTGAAGCAGAAGCAGTACTTCTGATAGATCTTCTTTGAGTTGGCACAGCTCAGGTACGGCTAGACTTCGACTGAATCATCACAAATTTATATCTGTATATGATATCAGTAACGTGGGATAATTTGTAATTCATTACGAACGTACAGCTTCCTATTGAGAAACCGAGGGGTTCGACGAAACATTACGCGGAAGCAGATCAGAGCTTCTCCTTTTTTGTCCTCGATCGATACTGCAATACCATTTACTAAGTTACTCTTCCTCGTAATTCAATTGTGCCCACTCTTTCTGATTCGAAGAAGTAGTTGGTCAGCGCCTACCATGACCTGTACAGGGGGAGCCAGAAAAAAAGACATTTTGCCCAGGTCGCACTTCGGCCTTTTTTCTTCGCAGAGATTGCCGTCGTTGACGGAAGTTCCTCAGCAAAATATTCCCTAAATGTCCCTCTATAAGTACACGCAGGCCCTCCTTCACTACCCTCACCGTCTTCAGAATATGACGTCATCTGTCACCGTCGTCGAGCTCAGGGAGGCCTACAGTAACTGCTTCAGCCTGAAGCTCTTACATAATTTCTTGGATCGATTCAACGTGGGATAGTTTCCTAGGGACATTAGCTCTAACTATGCAAACCCCCTCGGAACCCGTCGTAACGGTACACGATCAGTCGAGAACCCCATTGAGCTCGACCAGAGCACCATGTTTCCGGGGCAAATTTTCTTGATGCCGTCCACGTACAGTCGATATCTCGAAGTCTGATTGGGCGTGTCACCGGAAATGACGTGGCAGCCACCGCACTTGATAGAATGTT